CTGAAAGAAAGGATTTGTATGCAGGAACAGCGAGCAGGTAAAGCGCCATGGTCCGTCTTCCTGCACACGTCGCATTTCCTGGGTCCAGTCATATTGTGAGCTTCGTCATCAGCTGGGATCTCTGTCCTAGGCTCGTTTGATTGAGCTACACCTCTTACACGGGTGCAGTAAAGTGTAGAGAGGTGTATTTGCCGTGTGCGTATTGGGATGCGACAGGAACTACATCGCACTACACTTTTGTGCACCGGTCCACGAGGTGCAGGTACATTGAACGAGCATACTGTTCGCTGCGACTGACTGCTTTTGTGTGTTGAAAAGTGAGCGCAAAGTCATTTTAAGTGTGTATGTATTCCGCCTTTAAACAAAAATGTAAATTTTAATTTCGGAAACCATACGCGAGCTTGTTCCTCGGTGAGGCGTTGACGAAGTGTGAACACGACTTCTAGAGGGACAAACTTCACGTTTTGTTCAAGAACAGTATGAGTTTTTGTAACATACTGGCGGCCTGTCTTAGATCCCGTCGTTCAGTCGTATGCGCACTGGAAATATCTTCTACTGTTTTATTCGCAACAGAGGATTCGTATCTTTACTCGGTTCCTTACTCCAGTCAACGTGCCTTGTGTAGTTTAACAACATCAACGCTTGTCTTCAGATTTTATTAAATAATCGTGCTTTCTTTAGGGTCAGTTGCTCTCCTGGTCCTTTTTATTTATTAGTTTTGTACCATACGTCGCCAGGCTCGAATATAACAAGCTAGACCAATATGTAATAGATATTTTTTGTACGTAACATGAACATTTTTCGACGATCAATCGAGCCACTTTTGTGTGCATCATTATGACTTTACTCGTCTCTTTTATTTTCTACTGCGCACATGTTTTTTTTTTCGATTCCTATGAGAGTGTGTCACTATTCATGGTACTGTTCGTGAACACATCAAAATAAGCCTTATTTTTATAACACGCCTGATTGTTCCACCTAAGTTGCTTCAAATCACCTGGGAATTTCTATTAGCGGGAGTCTTTCTTGGTTTTGACCACCTTTGAACTCTGCCCTCGGAAAAAGGTTTGCAAGTTCCCTTTTTTGCGGAAGAGATATAATTTTCATTCTGCGCACCGCATTTTATGAAGTCGCCGTGGCACCGAGATTTCGGTTCGACATCAAAGGATTCCGAGGTGGTCCAAACGAATCCTCAGTCCTCCGCTTGGGCGTGCCAGATGCCCGTCGTTGGTTTGGCACGTAAAGCCCCCCAAATTTCATTTGACCGGATTTTGTTTTTATACCTAATTGTATTTTGAACATCGTCACTCGCAAAAATTCCTCTACTCTTCTCCGGCGCTTTAAGTTTTTCGGCTTGCTCTCTCTATCAAAAGTATTAAAGCAAGATCGCCCGATTTATTTAACAGTTCAACGGACCTCACCTGTAAAACGTCAGCCCGTTATTGGCGCGCGCCTGCCTGCCTCTAACAGGTTGCGCGCGGGTCCGTCGATTGCTCAAACACCTATTTTGAGCCTAGCACAAAAGAACCACGCCGTTATCTGAACAGCCCTCGAAACTTATCGGGGAGAACAGCATAGCCCTTTTGGGTTGCCCGTTGTCGACACCGCCACAACCGAGGGGATCAATAGCGTCCGGCCTTCTATTTATTTAATGCGACACGTCGGCCGGCAGTGAGAGTGGGCAGAACACACCGAGCTATACGAGCGGAAGAGGGGGGAGGAAATGTAAGCGGCTTTCTAGACCTCGCCACCGGCCGTAATTTTGCCTGATCGCTGTTTGATCGGCGCCCGGGCCTTCCGCGCCAGTGCTGAGAGTATGTGTGTGTGCGGTCGGTGACGTGTTGACACCTCAGCCGCCAGTCGGTTTCCGTTCCCGCTGCAAAAATTGCCTCACTCGCTGTCGAACCGGTAACGCCAACCAGGCACGCCACACTGGACTCTATATTATGTCATAACTTGGAAATGTAATACAGTTGCGGTTCCGGAGATCCAATCCGACTGTCGGAGCGATAGAGCACGTGACAGCGTGCTGTCGGCGTCTTGCGAATGGTGCTCGTGCGAAGAGCGGCCACGTGCCTCGTACCGTCGCTCTGGTTGGCTAGCCGGGAAAGTAGTTTTCGCCTTTTTCTTTCTCGAGTTGCGCAGAAAGAGTTGCGTCACCGATGCCGATCAGTTCTTTAGTTGGCTGCTACCACGCGAGGGTGAAAATAGCCTTTCGATTATTTAATTTCGTTTCGCATTACGCGTTGCCTCTCTACCTGATGAGAGCAAGGCATTAAGGTGTGTCTTAGAACGTCCTAAAATGGAGGTTGGTTTATGAATAAAGAAAGCAATGCTAAAGTGTAAGTAATACTATTGTATGTTTGTTTAGACAGCGGGAAGTTATAGTGAGCTTCATTGGGCGTCTTGCGTCTCCTCTGTAGACAAAGAGTTTACTAGAGTTGTTGCACAATTTTGAGGTTTCTTAATGAATCCCGTAAATGAATGTGTCAAAATAAAGCTCCTAGGTACAAGTATGCTGGAGACTGACCAATTTCTCTAAGATATGCCTATGAACGTATAGAATAGAATCCATACAAGAATACCCTACAAAAGTAATATTCAATGTTGGCCTTCTGAGGAAGGAACAATGTAGACTGTGGAGGTAGAATAACTTTAGCCAGCAAGCTGAAAGGACACTATTTCAATCGCGTCATTAAATTGGCGGGTATATTTATACGTATTTGAAAGAAATAAAAACATTTTACGACCTCACTCTTGTATGTAACGCCCTACACAGCGGGCAGGTTGTCGGAAAATCTGAAATAAGAAATTTGGGGATGTAGCTAAACTTCTGAGCCTTACTTTTGATCATGTTGTGGTTCTCAAGAGGGGTTCCGCGGAACTCTGGGGTCCGCGAAGTCATTTTTTAGGGTCCGTGAAGCCCTCGCCCCAACCAAGTTATATACTACAATAGTCTAAAATCAATAAAAACATGCTAGCTAATCTCAGAAATCCTTGTAAAATTATATTGATTTTGGGTAAATCATGTGGTGCTATCAAAATCGCTACTTTTGACAAGCGCCAAAACTTCCAAAATCGCCGCCAATCCCTCCTCACCAAAAGCCCCCCAACCCCCCTCCCATACACAAACACACACGTACACACACACACACGAAATTTCTTTTTATTACAAAATTTTTGAAGACTTTTTTTTTCAATTTTACGCGCCGTTGTTTTGAGAATTTCAGCTTCGAAGGAACGTCTACCCGCTTTCATGTCTGCTCACTGCAGCACGTAACATTGGCGTTAGAAAAACCGGTGAAACAGCAGTGAGTTTGAGTATTGCGTATGCGAGCGAACGCAAGCATTGTGTGTTTGTGTTAGCGTTGCGTGTTTCCCACTGCTCGTGCGCGGTCTTGGGTTGTCGCATGGTAACGACGCGCATGCTGAGCACGCTACTCTAAATCAAACGCAAAGCGTTTGTGTCTGCTTCTATACGCAGTACTAAAACTCTCTAGTAAGGTACAATCACATGCCGACTGCAGCACTACATTGGGGTAGTGAAGAGTGTTGTTTGCGTTAAAAAATGGCATTTTGCGAGCCATAATCGTGAGCAGTTCCGCCGTCCCCTGAGCAGGAAAGCCGGTGATCCTCACTAGAGCGCTTCCTCTTTCCGCCGCGGGGGGTCAAGCAGCAATCTGGAGACGCGAATAGACTATAGTCGCTGAAGGGAACTTGTTTTGGCCGAGTAAAACCAGTTCGATAAAGCAAAATGCGTGCTGCAGAAGGTGCGCGCTCAACAAGCAAGGCATCACAATGGCAGCTGATGTGACTTCACTGTAAGCCATGTATGCATGGCTTGCACGTGAAGTCACTGGTGTATGCTCGTGGTCATTTATAGCTGTTCTTGAAGAAAAAAACTGAAATTCTTCCAGCACAAGGTACGGTACGTGCTCAGCTGCGAGGCGACCCTAACGGCAGCTGATGTAGCGTCACTGCAGGCCATGTACAGAGAAGGTTTCCCACCTGCTGCATGTAGAATGCTACAATTACAACCAGCCGGCCTTCGCGTCGCCTCCGACGCAGGCTAGTTTGCGGACGGCGAAGAAAGCCTAGACTACGGCTGCAACCCTGGTCGGTCGCCGTCTTTCAATTACACAGGCCAACGGTCAGGGACGGAGGCTTGCAATTACTCGCCGTTTGGGTCTCCTTGCAGAGGCGCGCTGGGACGACGAAACATCCTCTCGGGAACCGGCGCCGTTTGTTCGTTCAAGCTGCAGTTGCGCTGGGGCTAAGTTCCTGTTAGGGGAATCTTAGAACTGTAGATTTTTTTGTTCGTTAGATTTTTTTTTTTTTTACTTTTACTTAAAGTTATTTGCATGCCTTCACTTTGTAGAAAACGTATGTTAGTTCACTTTCCAGAAGGAATAAAGACAACCAGTCACAGAAAACAATAAAAGGATCACAGCGAATGCCGAAGTTTGGAGTACGATTAGCCATGAAAATTACGATGTATGAACTGCAGCTACAGCTAAGTAAGACAAAAATGTACTCATTGTCGCTGTGCGTATCGCTTTCTTTTTCTTTCTTTTTTACTTGTTTATATGTGTGTATGTGAAGGGAGCGGGGGGTTGTTGTATTCTGGGTTTCGTCATTCTCTGGGATCCCTCTATAGTTTTCTGTGACTGCCTTTTTTTCGTGTATGGCGTGAGAGTGAACTCAAATAAATCTTTTTATAATGTATTTGAATAGTGTCCGAGGTCCCATACCACAAGTTTAACTTTCGCGGCCATCTGAAGCGTTTTCGACGGGCGTTGCCGCTCTTGCCCGTGTTGGTAGACTATCGTAATCTTTATATTCATTGAGGCGCTTTCAAATGCGTTCACCGACGCAAGTATAACAAAAAATGAGCACAGTAAACGCCCTCAGTTACAGTTCTCGTCCGCTCGTGTCTTTGTAGTTCAAAAAAACTGAAAAGAATTTCCCTTGTTGAAGTTCCGCCCTCTGTCTTGACGCAGGTTGAGACGGAAGCAGCTGTGCGGTGGAGAAACCCAAGAACCCGGGGTCATGAAGCGGACCTGTATCCAGGCGCTGGTGGGAGTCCTCTTCTTTGCTGCCCTCGTCCACCAGCTTCACGCAGAACTCGACTGCAGGTCAGAACCTTCCAAGACTTATTCAAGGACTTGTCTGCACTCCCATTACCCTATATAAACGCCAAGGCAGGAATTACATGGCGCTACCTTAGTTATTACTAAATTAACTAAAATTGTGCTGATTTTTTACTTGGACGAGTCAAAGTGCTGTGCTTAACGTATATTTTAGCCTACTTTAAATATCTAAACTATAATATAGTGTTGTTTCTTCTAGCGGTGCCCTCCGCTCTCACAATCAGTCCGGCAAATAAGGTCCACATAATGAAAGTATTTTGTTTATATATATATATATATATACTCGAATATGCAGATAAATGAGGACTACTGATAGGATGGGATACATGCTAGAAAGTCGCCGAAAGACGAAATCGTTGACGGTGCCGTGAGTCGAACTCCGGATCTCCTCGCTGAGGTTTGCTACTGCAGAAGTTCCCAAAGAAGTGGCATATGTTCTACTAAAATAAATAATTTATTACGCAGAAGTTACATGTCAGAGTATAGATGAAGACGCGATGTCGGCGTCTGTCCCTGCCACTGGTCCCAAGACGCTTCCTAGTGTAGGCTTGTGCGTGGTCTTCTGTGCGTCCTCCTCTCCCGACACCTCCTCACGGCGCATCGCTCGGTTGACCAAAGGGAGAATGGTGGGTCCAAACGGCAGGTCGGGTATCGGCACCCGCTGCGCGGGGTCTTCCGAGAACGGCGTCGGGCAGACGTGTTGGTGGAGAGGAACGCGACCGCCGCTATGACTGTCGGTTGCACCACCACACTACCATTGCGCATATAGTGAAGTAAGATGTACTTTGCGATGTGTTTCATAAATGTTTACAATATCGAATCGTGAATCGAGTGCGTTAGGCAAAGTTCCCTTTCAAGAACTGACAAAAGGTTGCCACCAAACATTAAAAAAGAAACGCCACGGATGTTTCAAATATTTGGCGTCAGCATGATCGAGCAGAGACTCCTTGCGCTACTCGCCTACCGAATACTTCTTTCCTTAGTGCGAAAAGACATTCTACAACATTTATATCTTCTAGAGATGAGCTTTATCTTAGTTTCCTGTAGTGAATGACTTTACAAAACAAAACATAAAAGCTTTTTTTCCTCAGCTTTTATTGACATCTTTTCGCGCGCCATTTATCTGCAGGACGTAGAAAATACACCTTTAAATAACAAGACGATATATCTTGTTCCGCTAGACGTCTTGGAAGAACTCGTATATTTTCTTCTGTGTTCATGAGTTCCTTCAAAACAGGATACATAAGACTCTGCATGAAACGCTTACTGGGCTCGTTTGCTCGAAGCCGGTTAACTTTAACCGCGGTTAAACCCTTCCTTACTAGGTACCTACAAGTACCTAGAAAGTTTGACGAGGGCTGGATGAGCGATAACTCCGTGTTTTATTATGGGGTGGTAGCTGGTGTCACCTACTGGCTGTAGCGAATATACGTGGCTTCGTGGAAAGGTTCCCGAAATAGGGGGACCCAAAAAATGCGCGCTGCCTGGTTTTCGCGAAGCAGCGCGGCCTACATTTGAGCTTCAGAAACAATTTTTATTGCTCGTGGTACAAATAATCGGCAAGGTAAAACTAAATTAAACCATGTTTGGAAATTTTCTAAATATTTGGCTGTATGAAGTGAAGAAAAGCCTCGTTAAAATTTCCTTGCAAGTTCGAAAGAGGACGACGAAGTTGAGTCCTAGAAACAATGAGAAAGAAGTGAGCAGTGAAAGGCGTGCGGTACACTGGCAGCATGGTTGGCCAGCATGTAGGAACCGTATATAACACCGTCATAAATTGAAAAACCTGTAACTCGGCTCCACTAAAAATTGACCTAGTAGTAAATTACCCGAACATCGAGAAGAACGCTGGAAGTGTAATTCTACGATCCGCGCGCGCTGGCCTTCCACTTATAAAAGATTTGAAGTAAACCATCATAATAAATCTTTGACGAACGCGCGTGCACGGCAAAATTTGTTTTAGGCGTTTTGCTTCAGAACAGTTATTACTGCAGACGCTAGCAGGTGCAGCGCGTGTAACTACACTCGTAGCATGCACGTTGGTGCTTTTTAAATCTATCAAAAGGTCTAAGGGAACGCTCTCTGCTTTTGTGTGCTATCAATGCCCGGCCGATTGGGTCAAGGCAATCCACTTTCCAAAGACGTTGCCATGCCGACAACTACCGCATTCATTTAGGCTTAGGAATGGCCAGAGTCGAAAGTCTATCTAAAAAATGCGGCGAGGTCATTGCTCATGCTTTGCGTTTTAAGTGAGGTAAAGCAACGCGAAAACCTCATGCACCATTCATTGCTGACTCACTCGCCCACTACTGCACCTACTACGACGTATTAGTTCCAAAGCGAGCGGCGCTCACTCACCGGGGCACCGCCATGTTTCCCCGCCGTACTCACTCTGCCAGTCACATGACCCAAAATTCCCCCTCGTAGGGAAATCCGGTTAACCGCAGTTAGTTAACCAGCTTCGAGCAAACGGGCCCTGGACCAAAACGTGACCGATTCTATCCTTTGTCTCAACCTAAGATGGGCTATTTATTTATTTTATTTTATTTATTTCGAAACCCTCAGTGCCCGGAGGCATCGCAAAGGGGAGGGCAGAAACAAAAGCAAATTAATAGAATATGAACGCGTCTAGTACAGGAATGCACAAAACCATGAACGGTCGAGTAGTAACAAAAGTGACTGGTTATTGCAAATCTACGAAAATCGACTGATGGTACAGACACTAAAGACGCGGGAAGGCGGTTCTATTCGGATGACGTTTTGGGAACGCAGGAGTCGATGTGGTCATTGGTGGGCAGGGGTAAATGGGAAACCTTCCGACAACGGATGGATCGACAAATGGCATAGCCAAAGCTTCGGGCCACTATAGTCGGCGACAAGTTAAGAGTGAAGTGGAGGCTCCTCCCATCTCTTTCCAACTTATCAGAGCGAACACCGGAGAGGAGGCGGCATCTTATACAGCGTTCGCGCTGCAAAAGTCGAAACAGGTGGAAGGAGCTTCCATCTTACTCTTAACCTGTCACTGACTTGGGTCGAATCAAGTGTTGGTTAACACCACGTCGCATACATTGAGGCGGTGTGCATATCGCTGCTTCGCGAAAGGCACTGACGGGTACGTCGAATCAATGTACCGCGTGGCGTGGTTCCTTACCGGCTCGTGATTAGACCTGGAGTATCGTCCTCTTGGCTGTAGTCCGGACTAAAGTGAGACGAAGTATTGGCCCGGAGAGCGAACCATAGAGGGGAAGGGAAGCTCTTGTTCAGCGTGTTCATCACGCAGAGGGTGGGGTTGAACTGGATCCTTATCAATATCTTCCTCTATAGACGCTTTACACACGCGCAAAATTACAGCCGCCATTACTGACCTTCTCTTGTATTACCGAGATGCCGAGCAACTGAAACGGTAGTTGACGATCCTCTACAAAGGCCGATGCTTTAGAAAAGGACACAGTTGAGTCTAATATGGCAAAAAACTGGCCTGCAATGGTAATGATGAAGTGAAATAAACGAAATAAGAGGAAACAAAAACTGAAGGTCAGTTATGTCGGCGTCCATGCACAGCTGCTGCAAAGCGTCTATAGAGCGCATGGCACAGTTTGAGCACGAGCGCTTCGTCACCGCTTGGCTTGGGTGTCACTGATTGACCACGAGCACCGCCGAAACACTGACTGAGTGTTCGTCTACGTGAACCTAAAGTCACAAATACTGGAGAAGTACCGCCATTGCCTTACCTGACTGCTAGTCAGACAGACAGACAACCGAACTTCGCAAGAAGAACAATAAAATATATTTTCCATTCGAAATACATAAATGACAGAAATAGAGAGAAAACTCTCTCAAACGGATTGAAGTCCCTTGCTTTCTTACCGTTTTGAATGCAAAAAAAAAAAAAAAACAGAAACTAGCAACAGCCTAAAAGGTATCAAAATACAGATTACAACAAAATACAACAAATTAACTTAATTTGAATTCTATAAAATCATGCCCTCTAAAAGATATTATATCGATATTGCAGTCTATGGGCGTATAACGTGAAGCGGGGAGTGTGTAATTTAGTGATTCCATAAAATAACTATTACGAGAAAACGGCACAGTCCAAAATTCCGCCGACCGAGTTGGATAGGTTAGAACAATAACTTTTCGCTCAAAAATATTCGCTAGGGCATTCTCATTTCTATTTTTTTCTTACTTAAACGAGACCATGAATTTATATTTGTGTATATTAAAAACATGCATTAAATTATATTTTGTAAATAGGCCTTTGGTACTGGAAGTACATGACGCGGTCTTAATGAGGCGAGCAAATTTATTTTGCAATAAGCGTTTTTTTTTTCTAAAGTTGAACAGATGAATGTGCCCCATACCAGGTGGCAGTAATTTACGTGCGAAATGAACAGGGCTTGATATACAAGTAGCTTTTAGGTAAAATATGACTGTTCCCAAAGACGAGTCCAACGGCCCTGGACATTCTAGTGAGTAAATAGTTTACGTGACATGCACTGATTAAAAAAAGCACATAGAGTTCTGAAATTCTCTGCTTTCTCCATAATGCTTAGGTTTAAGACGAGGCTCTTTGTATAGTAAAAACTTTTTTTTTATTCTTGAGCCAAATGAGGATTGCCTGGTTTGCCAGTATTGGTTTGGATCCCATTGTCTGAAGTCCACTTCTGCAGACTGTTAATGTCGCGTTTGCGTAATTAATTAGATCATCGTGAGTTTTAGCTGAAAAAAAGGCTCGTGTCATTTGCATATTTCAGAATTTAGGTCGAATCAATTTTAACTATATCATTATTATAAATCCTAAAAATCAAAGGCTCCAAAAATGCTTCCTTGCGGCACATCAGAGACAGTTAATCAATTGGTTTTGTTGTAGACGAATACCCATTTAAATAAATATTCTTTCGTTCCCGGTCCCAGTTGCCATGAAAATCGCCATTTCGGTCCATTCAAATCTTCGGAGTTTCAAAACGGTCATTCTGAAACAG